TTTCAAGCATGCAATCGGCATTCTATTTTTACTACCTCTCGTTTATCGTTTAATCGACCGTATCACTCGCTAAGATATTAATTCGTAAATGCGCAATATGCTAAAATATGGTTTACAAAATAATCTCTCGTCAAAATCAACTTTTATCAATTATTAAGTTTTCGCAGATTCAATAAACACAGAAATGACAATGCGTCCACGATTGACGATTACGTGACATGTTCGAAGGGATTAACGGCTTTCCTGCGGTAGCTTTTATAATAGTCGGAGCGACGCGTTTCTTCCTTTTTTTTTCAAATACTTAAATAATTCCTCATTTTAATATAATGGCCTCTCATCCCATAATAATTCGCGTGATCTCGCGCGGAGCTGCGAAGAGTTATGATTAAATTTAAAATCTTGCGTGCGAAACGAAAGGACAAGAGATGGAACAACGAGGGAAGGGGGGAGGGCGGGAGGAGGAATCGCTCGAGGTTGCCTTGTCGAAGGGTCTAGCCCCAACTCTTTGAAATCCCCTTTGTCGACTGTGCAGGAATTACAAATTATAAAGAACTTTTGATGAATCGGTGCACTTCGGCAAGCATTCATCCTGACATTCGACATTTAACTCTTTCTTTCAAATTTAATGAACTCCAAAATATTCTCATATGCAGCCAAGCAAAGGCGTTACAATAATATCAAATTACGATTACTGATTACCATATGCTACAATTTTAAATTGATAAAACAGTAATACTTTGAAAAATGATTGAAGACGCATTTTTTTTTTTAATATTTCACGTTTTATAATGTTTGGAAATATCGTCTGGCTTGGACAGCCATAGGTAAAATATAATATTTGCTGTCGCGTTGTATTTTCGTGCAAGCCATAAATTCTATCCGTCATTTCGGGCCCCGGACAATTTCAATTTTATTCCATTAAAAATTGTGATCATTGTTGCACGAACGAATTTATCGCGCCAGACATTCTACACGAATTTCAACATTTAATTTTGACGTACGGTTACTACCCTCGAGCTCTCTTTCTCTCTCTGTTTCTCTTTCTCCTCCCCCGCCCCTCTCTATCAGTCTCTCTCCCTTTCTCTCCATTCGCTCGGCCTATCTGTCTCTTTAG